CTGTGCGTCCTGTCGGGGAGACTCCGCTTGCTTGAAGCAGGTGCCCAAAACAGCCAAGATCTACTGCACTAATTAGGGGGGTGGGTGCGAGGGCCCGCGCCGATCGGCAAAACGCTGAATAAGAAATTGATGGGTTCCATGTTAGGGCTGTTATTCCCCAGTCAGGTTTGCCTAAGGGGTTGGTGAAAAGGTTGTGCCTCCCAATGGTGCTTTGCCCGTTCCCCAGAGGATCCTCGGATTCCCGGGTTCCGCTGGTTCCCCACCCCAGGCCGCGCACCACTAGTGTTCACTCTTGCCCAGGGCCCCTCCTGCATGTAGCCGAGGTCCTTCGACGTCCTCTCCAGGGGCCCGGTGCAGGACGCGAGTGGAAGCCGGTTGTCGGGAGGTGGAGAGGACGCTGAAGGCTTTCGTCTGTTCTCCACTTCTCTCCTCTGCTCGCGCACCGTCTGGTACCAGGCTCCACTTTACCGAGAGGCCGAAGATTGCCAAGAGCTCCACGCCGTGATTTGCCACGGCGCCAGAGAGGGCAGGATCCCGCCAGCGCCGTCGCTGCGCCGCGCACCCCCCCCCTCCCGCCGACCACGCCCGGACAGGTTGACTGAGATCGAAGAAGCAAGCACTGCATCCACAAAAACTGTCGGAGCTCGGCGCGGGTTTCCTGGATCTGCGCTGGGCCACCTCCTGGCGGCGCCTCTGGCGCTGCCCCTGGCGCGTTCCGCGCGTCAGGGAGGAGGGGTTCCAGCGCCGGCCCAGGAAACCCTCGCGGAGCTCCGAAAGGTTCTGTTTACGCAGTCGCTTCTTCTTCTTCTCTTTCGGGGGACGAAATCTATACATATCCACTGCTCCCTGGCCAGGCCCATCCTGAACCCAGGAGCTGTGTATACGCCCTCCTGGCCAAGCCAGGAGGGCGTGGCGTATACACCGCTGCTGGGTTCAGGCTGGGCCTGGCCAGGGAGCAGTGGATATGTATAGATCTCGCCGCCCTATCTCGTCCTTGCACAGAGAGAGGAGAGTGTTTGTTGGATGTGCTTGTGCATCCTGGGGGAGTGCACCCTCGAATGTTCTGCAGTTTGGCCGGCGGAGGGCCTCGTGTTCTCGAGGGATGTTTTTTGTTCTAGGTTTAAGTCGGGCCTGTCCCTCTACAGGAGGAAAAGTCAAAACTAGTCAAGAATTAGTATGGGCGTGCTTTTTCCTACTATGTTTGACTATGTTGGTGTGTTTTTTGTTCACTATTTGTTTTCCTACCAAAATCCGCCTGTAGGGGGACATGCCCGACCTATTCTAGGTCCGCTGGTACGTTGGACATGGGTACGGTTGGTTCACGCCGTGTCGGCCAGCGGCAACCCCGCCACCGGCGTTCCACGTGGAACGCCGCAGTCGACCGAGAAGCGGTCGATGTTGGACGATCTGTGATGTTTTGGAAGCGGCCGATCGTTCAAGTTTGCATTACAGTGGAGGCCCATGCCGAGAAACATCCTGCTTGCCTCCGGGGTGCCCTGGGGGTGAATGGTTTTGCTGTGGAACGCGTGACGTTCCCACACCAAGAATCAAGGGACGTTTTGGGATATCAGGGGTGGGTTTCTTGTGGTCGGGCCTCCACTGTATCTCTGCGATGTCAGATACGAGCGCCGAAGTCGGCACGACTCGAACCTGCCGCAAGGAGAGAGAACGGCTACGAAGACCATCAGCGGTTCCTGTTCATTTTGGGCAGGGGTGGCTGTCGGCGTCGCCGCGGACGTCGTAGCGTGGGTCAACAGTTGCTGTTTGGCATCGTGCCCATGCTCTCCGTGCCCACTTCGGGTGTGCCAAATCTTGATCCGATCGTTCGGATCCGATGTCGATTCTGGCCTGCCCGATCCAGTTCGATTCCTGTATTCCAGGGATCTGGCCCGACGCCTGCCTGGCGCCATTGTGCATAACGTTACTCGACTTTGACTCCGTACCGATGCAGGCCGATCCGATGCGGATGTCGTTTCGTTCCGATGTGCCGCCTCGATGCTGACTGATCCCGACGCCCCCGCCTCAGGGGCAACGATTGGGGGGGATTGGCATAAGGGGGGGACGCCTCGACCCCAATCGCCCATTGCTCGGCGACAGGGGGCCCCATTGCCCCGAGCCTGCCCAGGCACGCGCGGGTTCACCACCAGGGGCCGACCGCCGATGCATCTCGCCGATTCCAGTTCGCTGTTCCCCCCGCGTGCTGAGGTTCGGCGCTGCAAACAGACTGCAGCCTCGTAAGAGCTCGCGCCCGGAGCCCCGAACCCCATCTTCCTGCGTCAGTTTTTTTCGAGCCCGATCGACACGTGAGGGCCCCTTGGGCTCGAAAGGGAACGCCAACGCCGTCTGTGCCAAATCTGCCACGCCAGGATTCCACGGTCTGCAACAGTCCCCCCCTCTGTCGTTGCCGCTCGCCGCCCCTCGGCGCGGAGGCGGGCGAGGCGGACCTCTGCTGAGGGCGCGCCGGCGGCAGCGCCCGAGAGGTGGAGGGTCCCCGCTCGTCGTCGTCCTCGTCGTCGTCGTCGTCGTCGTCGTCGTCGGCGTCGTCGGCGCCGTTATCGGCGTCGTCGTCGTCGTCGTCGTCGTCTGCGTCGTCGGCGTCGTCGGCGTCGTCGGCGTCGTCGGCGTCTGCGTCGGCGGCGTCGTCGGCGTCGTCGGCGTCATGAGCCCATGGCGCGCGCATGGCCTGCGCCCCGAGAAACTGCGCGCACGGCCAGGCAGCGCGTCCCCGGGGAGGGGTCCGTCGTGGTCGGCGGCGGGAGGCGTGCGGCGCGGCCTGGGTTTGAGTCGGGCCTGTCCCTCTACGGGAGGAGTGCTCCGTGCTCGTTTGCTTATTCCTTGTTTTGCCGATTGACGCGGGCCCTCGCACCCCCCCCCTTTCCCCCCCCTCATGGAGTAGATCTTGACTGTTCTTGGCGCCTGTTTCAGGCAGGTGGAGCCTCCTCCACAGGATGAACTACCGCTAACAGTCGCATTAAGCAGAGGTCCAGAGCCAGACCCCCCCTCTCCCCCCCCTTCCGCCCAATGTCGAAACACCAAATAATAAATTGCTCGTTCAATAATAGCCCATTAATAGTGTGGTGGTGATTTTCCTAGTATCGTTTGACCAGTGTCGAATATGTTTGGACTATTTTCTAGTCCTCCCTCGAAATCCGCGTGTAGGAAGACATGCCCGACCTAAGGGGGGTGGAGGAATAAGGTGCATGCCCGCATGACGAGGAGGACAAGGTGCCCATACCGCTACCTTTCGCTCGTTTCCCTTCGTTTTTGGGGCCCCGTGGCGGTGCACCGCCAGGGGTTCGCCTTGCGATCCTGGCCAGGGCGCGCCCCTTGGGAGCAGCGACATCGATACCTTTGGGCTTCCGCGGTTGGGCTTCCGCGGTTGGGGCGAGGAGACTCTTTCGTTTGGGGTCTCGCGATCGATTGATTCGTCGGGCCCACATCACCCCCCCCCCTGAGAACCCTTGTAGAAATTTGAGCCGGTTCAGTTGAACCATTCTTCTGTGAAGTGGTTAGCGCATGATATCAGACATCAGATGTCAGTATGTCTCCTTATGTTTCTCTGTATTTCCATTGATGTTTGATACCCGACACCTTCTGGCATCATGTTTCAGTGATAGCGTAGCGTTCAGTTCTCCCCGGACGCCCCCATTTGCCGCCGCCATGCCAGCGGCCAGTGGCGATCGAGCTAAGGAGGGTTATCCAGAACATGCTGTTGTTGCAGAGGACCCAGCGGCCCCAGAGGCGGCGTCGGTCTTTTCCACAGAGCAGATGGCAGAGATCAGACAGCCATTGCGTCGCGAGTTTCGCGAAGCTCTTGCAGACGCAGCCCCCGCCAGAGAAGAACCAGGAGGTGCGTCTCGACCACAGTCTGGCGGAGGAGACAGGGGCTCCTCGGATCAGATTGGCGACCCATGGGATCAGGACTCGGGTCGAGGCGGCCGAGAAGGTCGCCCGCAGTGGGGTAGTACAGGTTAGAGTTGGGGAAACTTGCACGAATTCGTGGTGGGAGCCGTCCTCGGCCGCGGACTTGAGCCAGGACAAGTCTTGGTACGAGGACGTGTGGTATCAGGACAAGTGGAGCTCGTCGAACAACTGGTGGGAGAAACCAGACGTGTCGGACCCAGACCCGTGGCTCGGGTGGGGTGAGTATCGCGTCTGGCGCCGCAGCATAACGCGTTGGCTCTCCGGGACGACAGTCTCCACCAGTCGACGGGCCGACAGGATTTTAAAGGTGCTGGACCTCGAACTCAGGAAGAAGTTCGAGGATATCCCAGATCACGTTTTCCTGCGCATTCGAGGCCCTCAAACAGTTTTGCAGCGTCTCGACGTGCTCAGCGGGCAGCTACAAGACGATGAAATGAGGAGGTCGGGCCGAGAATGTCTGTGCATTTCCAGCGGCGCCAGGGTGAGTCGCTCAGCCTCTGCGCAGCACGCATGGACCAGATCTTCGACCGCCTTTCGACACAAGGCTTGGATTTGAGCAGCCGCTGGCGCCATCTTTTCATCGAGGAAGGAGTCGGCCTCCACGACGCCGGGAAGCAGATGCCCAAGACTCTCAGCAGGAACTCCGGCGAGTACACCGATCTGCTGCAGGCCATCCGTGACTTGGACATGACTAGAAACGAATCCTTGACAATGAACACTTCGTCTAAGAGAACTTTTGCGTCGGAGATCGGTTCCGAGACTCACGTTGAGGACGACGACGGGGCCGCTAGCGTCTCCCCCCTGAACTCCAAGCTCGAGAATGATATGTTGGTGACGATCGAGCAGGCAGATCTGAATGAGCTGGAGGTGCCCGCCATCTTGGCGAAACTCTCCGCGGAGCGCCGCAAGATCTGGGAATAGAACAGAGATTTCAAAGGAAGATTGAAGGTCGATAGGAAGTTCTCCCCGACAGCCCCGCCAGAAAACCATCGCGGCCAGGACGGGCAGAGGCGGCCTCGCAAAGAGAGACTGTCTCCGCAAGCCCTCATGAAGGTAACGAAGTGCCACCGCTGCCAGCAGAAAAGACATTGGGCTGCAAGAGACCGGAGGTACCCAGGGCTTCGGGAGCGTCGCCAGGACCGCCTGCCACGGGTTTCGTTTTCCAGAACGACGGCTCGCACACGTCCGGCCTGGTTCTCGCGCCCTCTTGTCTAGAGACTCTCCGCGACTTGATCGACAAGTCCTGGGCCCCGCAGGCCCCGGGCGCGTTTCGCGCGACCGAAGGGGGCGAGGTGATAGTCGACACGGTTGCTGGACAGGGATTGATCGGACCAGAATCTCTCAGGAACATGGGCAACCGTCTCGCTCGACCCGGACATCGATCCCCTAGCGTTCCGAGTAGAAACCAGTCCGCCCAAGGAGCGGGCGGAAAGACGAGAGCTCTAACGGGTTTGTTGATTCCCTACAGCGATTGAGGGTTACGAGGGAGTCGTAGAGATCGATTCCATCAGTGAGGAGGTTCCGGCTGTAATGCGGGTAGTCCTCCAGTCGATGCTAGGCGCTGTGATTAACCTTCCAGAGGAGAAGGCGTTTTTTTTGGGGTGGGGGCCTGCGTAGGGCCACCGAACTGCGAAAGTTTCACTTTGGGCGCCGGTCGATTCGAGTGGATGAGCTACCACCCTGGGCCAAGTTTCAGGCGCCCGAGGGCATCGCAAGTTCGGTCTCACGAAGGCCGACTTCCTCATGCCAGCACCGAGCTACTCTTCGACGACGGCGGATGGCGACCGCGGCCGCGCGGCAGCGACGTCACAGCGGCGAGGGATTAGCAGCGGAGGTGCGTCAAGACATCGGGGCCCCGGAACCAGCGGAACGGGGGCCAGCGCCAGACAGCTCGAACCCTGGTGTGATCCAACCCACATCGGGCGCCCTGGTGTCTCGCATAGGAACCATCAAGCGGTCACTCGGGGTCCGCCGGGCACTGCGACAGCTGCGACATCAGCTAGCAGTACTGTAGCCTCCCCCCTTGATGCCAAATCTTTCTTGCCACTCCAAGACGCGTCAACCAAGGCCTCTAAGGACTCCAACCTCGAAGGCCGAGAGGTTCATCCAGCAGACCCTGGACATTGCGGCGCAGGCTCGGGGCGCCGAAAGCCTATCACAGACGCTGTCTCGTCGGAACAATGGGGCGCAGCTCGGAAGCTGAGAGAGACGACGGACAGTCCAGAGAAGCAAGCCTCGTGTGACACGTGGGACGCAGCTCCAGATAAAACGAACGAGTCCGAGGACGTTCGTACGCGTTAGACGTCCTGGGCGCTACCTGCGCACTCCTGAAGTCGAAGCGTCGCGGGCCCCCTTGCTCAGGTTCTCAGGGGCCCCACATGGTTCATGAACATACTCCAGAGAACGCCGCCGTGCCTCACGACACATCTCATGGGGGACTTGCGGTTCCACATGCTGACAGGATCGCCGGTGCCAGTCGATGTGACAGTATTCATTCCCTCGGAGGTGGGCGTTGCTGGCGAGCAGGTCACTGATCGATGCCGCGCGCCGTCGAATGTCGATGCTGGGCCTCCAGAGGAGCGGCCGAACGTGGCCAGTGGCACTCCCGAGGCGACAGAGGCGGTTCACGGATGAGATGCTCGAGGGTCGCAATCCCCCAGACCGTCGCTGGGCCGGGGCCAACGGGGGCGCCTGCTGGATCAAGTGCGCCACCTGCGGGGTGCGTCTGGACTACTGGCCCGAGCCAAAGAAGGAGGGCAGTCAGCTGGCCATCAAGGACGAGCCCCGCGGGCCAGACCCTGGACCAGGTCGCGCGCCTCAGGGGTCTCCCCAGACGTTCAACACACATCGCAACGAGCCCATGGCCGAGAAGACCGATCCTCAGAGGACCTTGGTCAAGTCCGACACCTCTCAGACGCCCTCGATACCGGAGGGCCTCAGGCTGGGCCCCAGGCAGACGCGCGCGCCGATGCAGGTGGGCGAGGCGCCGCAGGCAGAGCGGAGGGCCAGGATCCGTTCAGAGCGAACTCCCGCGGGGCAACGCGATGCGATGTCCAAGGCAGAGATGGTGGAAGAGCTCGGCGAGATGAAGAAAAATATGGCCCCGCAGGGCGAGATCCTCAGGAAGCAGGGCGAGGCGTTGATGTCTCTACTGAAGACACGCGACGGAGCAACTACGAAGACGCGCGAGTGGGAGGTGCTGAGTCCCGCCAAGGGCCCAGAGGGCACCAAGTGAGCTCCACGAGCATGAATCGATTCATCGCTGAGACCGGCTGTGGATGAGTACTTTTGCAGGCAGCCGCGCGGCGTCTTGGAGTGCCAGCCCTCGATCTATTATACTTCTCTGGGCGGGGCGAGGGGGTGGGGCACGAGCTTCAGGAGGAAGGGGTTCAGTACTGCGTCGTGCTCATTGAGGAAGGATCTCCGCGATCATTGGAAGAACCGATCCAGGAGAACCCCCAGTCTCAGCACCAGTTTCTCGCGGCACGTTGCGATGCATGGCGAGCTCTAATTCGAGATGCCGAGTTCAAAGACGATTACGAGGCAACCATGTCTCGCAGACAGCGACGGGATACG